TTTTTTTTTTTCATACGATATATTTTCAACAGTTGTTCCATGAAGCTACAGTAATCAGTCTACTGGAAACTATTCTGTATCATAAGGTAAATTCAAAAGTATTCAAGTTGTATTTAATAGGCAGAGTAGTCTAATGGTTGGCAGGCTGATCTCTTGATCAAGTGATCCAGGTTTGAGCCCTGGCCAGGATCATTGCCTGGTGTCCTTGGGCAAGACACTTTAATCTCACAGTATCTCTCTCCACCCAGTGTATAAATGTATTTTTATGCTGGACTACTCTAGGGTAACCCTGCAATTGATGAGGATCCCATCTAGGGGAGAGTAGAAATACTCCGGCCACTTTGGCGGGACACAGACTTTACCTACCTTTGTATCATTAAATACATTCATATTTGAAACTGTCAGACAAGAAGAGGTAAATTATGTTTACTTATAATTATTTTCAGTAAGGCAACTAAGCTTGGACCCAGTGAGTCCTGGCAACATGCTAATCATTGGGCCACTAGAATATACCAAAAGGCATGGTTAGTGATAGAGGGGGTAGGGGAGCACTGATTATGAGAAATTAGGTTTTGTCATGTATGTAATTATCCACGAAAATATATATTCTACACTTATAATGGAATAGTATTTTAATTTCTTAGGAAGCATGTGAAGCTGCCGGTGATTGCATTCTTGATCTTGCTGACTACTGCCTGAGAAGAATATCACTTCTTATTGCACGGTACATATCTGCAATGCTATTGGTAGTGGTTTCAAATTACTTGACTGTTTATGAATAATATTTTATTTTATAAGTGATAAAGCTTCAATAATAATTAATAATAAATAATTTAATTGTATGTGGCACTAGTTTCATTACTGACTGATAATAGTGCAAAGTTATGAATGGATAAACAAACTGTTAGATAAATGGTAAAAATGTAAGTTAAGCTCTTTGACTCTTAATGTCACTATTCCGTTATTCAAACTAAGAGTAGATGTAACACAACCAGGTAAAAGGTAACACAACAAAATACGCAAACAACAATAGGGTGTAATTGAGGGGGACACGGCCCTGTGGCAGGATTGACATGACTTCATGATAGGTGCACAAACAAAAAGCCTCACTTATTCCCCCACTAATGTGGGTTGAATAGAACAAGAGTATTGTCAGAGCCTTTCTAGTCTCCCCAGCACAGCACAGACTGGATCAGACAAGATAAAGGCTAGGATATAAGATGGCAAGACACAAGCAATGCGAAAGCTTGGGGGAAGTCGCCACGCAGACTTAACTGAACATTAAGGAGTGACCCCAGTTTATTGGCAAATAACAAATAAAAGCCCTTCTCCAAGGGAGGGAGGGTTGGAAATTTTAATGTACTCTCTGTGTACTCTCGTGCAAGCTGCCAGGATAATGCCCTCTGACATATAGCAAGACAGTGTCTCAAAGTTCAACCAATAGGTACAGCTGTACCATGAACTAAATAGACGCAACGTGGCAAGCTTGTTAGCAATGAATGGAGCTAACAAATATGTGGGCCAATCTAGGAGAAGCTAAGATATTTTGCTAGNTGATAATAGTGCAAAGTTATGAACGGATAAACAAACTGTTAGATAAATGGTAAAAATGTAAGTTAAGCTCTTTGACTCTTAATGTCACTATTCCGTTATTCAAACTAAGAGTAGATGTAATGCAACCAGGTAAAAGGTAACACAACAAAATACGCAAACAACAATATGGCGTAATTGAGGGGGACACAGCCCTGTGGCAAGATTGACGTGACTTCATGGTAGGTCCACAAACAAAAAGCCTCACTTATTCCCTTACTAACGTGGGTCGAATAGAACAAGAGTATTGGCAGAGCCTTTCTAATCTCCCCAGCACAGCATAGCCTGAATCGGACAAGATAAAGGCTAGGATATAAGATGGCAAGACACAAGCAACACCAAAGCTTGGGGGAAGTCACCATGCAGACTTAACTGAACATTAAGGAGTGACCCCAGTTTATT